GAGAGAGAGAGAGAGAGAGAGAGAGAGAGAGAGTTGGGGGAAAATGCCTGAGAGGAAGCAGGGGGAAATTGAAAGGTTGAGGGAGATACAGGGTAATAGAAAGAGAGAGAGAGAGAGAGAGTGAGACAGACAGACAGACAGACAGACAGACAGACAGACAGACAGACAGACAGACAGACAGACAGACAGACAGACAGGCAGACCGAGGATGGCTTTGAGTGAGAGAGACTGAGATAGATAGGAGAGAGAGGGAGACGCAGAGGAGGAGAGACAGACGGAGAGAAGAGTCCGATATCGCCCCTAAAAATGGAAAGTTCTGGAAATGATGTATTCCTATGTCGTACAGAGAGCAGTCTGCTGTGAGTGCGCCGCCTACTCCAGTACAAACAAGACGCCACTGGACAAAGCGACTGTCCCGAGCGAGACGGTGTGCAAGAAGTGCGCAATGAGGGTGCGCGAGAGGAAGGAGACGATCCAAGAGATTGCCGAAACGGAAAAACGTTATGGGAGAGATCTCTCGGTGCTGAAGGAGGTTGGTGTGAAAATTATAAAAATAGATGTAGAGTAATAATTATTAGGATGTAAACCTTTGTTGTCCGGTGGTTAGACTGCTGAACTTTTAACCAAAATTATAATGGGTTCAAATCCTGGTCTGGACCCGACATTGTGGTCTTCTATGTTTGTCGCTCTATCTATCTATTTATCTATCTATCTATCTATCTATCTATCTATCTATCTATCTATCTATCTATCTATCTATCTATCTATCTGTCTATCCATCTATCTGTCTTTTTTTTTCTAATACATCATTTAATAGACTATTCCCTTCACTCTGCCCCTACCAGCGTCTGTAGTCACAGTGGTGTAGTGGTTGTGCTCTTCGCTGTCACACACAAGAGACACGAGTTCGATTCCCGGGTGGGAAAATTTTATCGAGTATCTCTCTATCATTCGGTTGGGACGTCGTATCCATCTGACAGTCCTCCTAAATGTTTTAAATAGTATCGATGATGGTGTAAAACTTCTACAATTTCACTTTTTACACCTCCCCTCTACCTAAACTTACCTTCACACTCATCCACCTTCCCTTCTCTCTTCTCTTTAGGATTTCTACCTAGCTTCATCCCCACTCTCACCCTCAGCCGCCTCCTCTACTCTGCTCTTTTCTCTCTCGGAATTCTACAGACCTTCAACCTCACCATCCCCCACAACCTCACCATCGCCCACAACCTCACCCTCACCCGCCTTCTCTACAATATTCCCCTTTAGGGGTTCTATCTACCTTCGCCCTCACACTCAGCCGCCTCCTCTGCTCTGTTCCTCTCTTGGATTTCTACCTTCCCTCGCCCTCAGCCTCACCTTCCCCATATACCTCTCTCTCTCTCAACCACCTACTCTACCTTTCTCCCCACTAGGAGTTCTACTTACCCTAACCCTCAACCTCATCTTCAACCTCCCCATCTACTCTGTTCCTCTCTTGGAATTCTACCTACTCTCACTCTCACCTTCTGCATCTACTCTATTCCCCTTCAGGAGTTCTACCTACCCTAACCCTCAACCTCTACCTCACCTTTACCCTCACTCTCCACCTCACCCTCCCCCTTACCCTAACTCTCACCCTCCACCCTCACCATCACCTTCACCCTCACCCTCCCCATCTACTCTGTTCCCCTCCAGGAGTTTTACCGCCCCATGAAGGCGACCAGCCTCCTGACCCTTGACCAGCTGGACACAATCTTCATGAACCTGGAGGAGCTTCTGCACGTCCACCGTCAGTTCATGGCGAGACTCACAACCTCTTTGCTGCAGGCAGTCAAAGCTGGAGATGAGGTGAGTAAACTTACAACTTACTCTTAGAAGTTAGCGGCACGTCTAAGTGCTGAATGCTGCAATATTATTGTTTGTTTTTGTTTCTTGCTTTCCTAATTCATCAAAAATATCTGCTTTCCTTTACTTTAATGGTATCCTAATACATTAATTGTTTATTCTTTTCTTAAATGGTGAGTACTGCACTCTTGAAGCTTAAAATCTGTCTTTCAACCCCTTAATATGCGTAGGTTTACGTATTATTATTATTTTAAAGAAAGCTTCTGATGCAAAGTAGGAAATAGACGTATATCCAATTGCAAATATTATGTACTCGTTTATACAAACTCTGCTAACAATAAGCATGACGGGTCAAATTATTTGTTCTCATTTTTGGGTTTTCTTTACCCTTCTTTTTTGTTCTTTTTTGTGGCAGGACTTTGCCTCCGTCAACATTGGCAGCTCCTTCATCGAATCCTCTACGATGTTCCTTGCTTTTGAGAACTACTGCATTCATCAGGTGAGACCTGTCACTCTGAGCTAAACCCACAACTACAATAACATAGTCAAAATTTTGAACCAGTCATTTCTACAATTATACGCTTATGAAATGAGAGCACCATGCACAAATGATGTTATGATTAATTTATGAAAGAACAACACATACATAATGATAATGTAGGCATTTATTGTACAGAAAATTATTGTTAAAGTCAAAGAGATGTTTTGCAGTCTTGTAATCCTCTGGGGATTGCTCGCGTGGCTTATGATGACATTTCATTGATCTGTTAGTGCATTTAGAGGGAACCACTCTAACACACACACACACACAAGGACATACATACATACTCAAACAAGCACAAAACACACACACACACACACGCGCACACACACACACACACACACACAGACACACACACACACACACAGACACACCCCACACACACACACACATACACACAGGCACATAGACACACAGCCACACACACATACACGCACATGCACACACACACACTTTCTCTCTCTCTCTCTCTCTCTCTCTCTCTCTCTCTCTCACACACACACACACACACACACACACACACACAAACACACACACACACACACACACACACTCACACACGCGCACACATACATGTAGACGCAACAAAAACTCCGACCATTTACGACTGTCCTGGCTGCTATTATTCAAAAAGGCTGACAGGCTGGTCACAAACATTACGTGTTTTTGCAAGAGCTCAACAGCATGCGGATAAAGTAAAATAATATGCCTCCAGCCATTCTTACAGCCATATAAAATAGTAGACAAAGATATGGAGACAGATAGTCGATTGGTAGCGCATTAAGTTGCATTTATGCAGGTGGAGTGAGGTCCATAATGAGGGAAATGATTGTAAGAGAGAGAGAGAGAGAGAGAGAGAGAGAGAGAGAGAGA